CAAAAACTCCATATTCCCTGCTGCCTGAGGGGATCTGTCCTGAAAAGTGCTGAGCCAGCAGTGACTGCAGAGCCACTCAGTGCCTGCCACAGCCCTGCAGGGTGGCTGCGTTCCTGTTCCTGAAGCCACACTTCATGGCTCTCCAGCCTGGCTTCCCCACAGTGACTCCGGGGGGCACAGGGCAAGCCCAGAGGGCCACAGCTAGCTGGACAACTCTGGCCAAGTCATTCTGAGCCAGCTGAGCCTCCGTTTCCACATCTGTAAAATGGGAGCAGCGGCCCTGCCTAGGAGGCCCTCCCACCTAAGAGGCCCCCACCAAGCACACTCCCATCCTCCAGGCAAAGGTGAGCAAATCCCAGGGGTGAGTTTTTCTTCAGCTTGTATGACACATTTTGCATTTATTGTTTTTCCCTGATTACAAAAAGTATTAAAAGCTCTTACTGCAGGAAATTTAGAGAATAGAGAAAACATAAAGAAGAAATTAAACACCACTCCCCCTCATGATGCGAGTGCAGAGAGAAGGTGCTGTTGACATCCAGGGTGTCCCCAGTCTTTAAAGAAAGCATCGTTGAGGGCTGGGGTTGTGGCTCAGTGGTAGAGTGCTTGCCTCTCATGTGTGAGGCACTAGGTTCAATTCTCAGCACTGCATATAAATAAATGATTAAAATAAAGGTCCACCAATAACTTAAGAAAAAAAATATACACACACACACAGCATTGTTGATCTTAAATGAACTGGAGATGCTACTTGGATCCTTCCTTGCAAGCTCATAATTTCAGAATTGTGCTTTAGGCACCTGCTAACCTCCACCTTGGAGGCCTAGTGTGCTCCATGGTCAGCTGTACAGCAGTCCCCATGGCCGGGGACTGAGGCTGCTCTGGATGCCAGCTGCCAGGCTCCTTGACGTGACTCTCTGAGAAGACCTCCTCAGGTTGGGCCGGGTGGTTTCTTAGGAGGGAGCCTTCCTTGCCATCTGACCTCGTGGCAGACCCAGAAGGGACTGGGGTAGCCCGCAAAAGCCTCAGGTGGCCCCAGGAGTACTTAGTGTAATTAAATACCTGGCTAGCCAATGACCCAGCAGTTCCCCCGGGACATATCCAGAGAAATCATCACTCAGCTCCCACAGGGGCCTGGTGAGGCTCCATGATGGGGAAGCTGGGGAGACGGGCAAGGGGGCAGGTGCCCATCAAGGGGAACTCTGCCACAGTTGAGGTCACTGAGGGGACAGAAGCAGCCACATGCAGGGTTCTAAGAAGCTCAGGCCCGGTAAAATAGCAAGACAAAGAAAGCAATCTCTAACACAGCTCCCTTTGCATGAATTAAAAATACATTCACACAAAGCAACAAGGAGCTTTCGCAAGAGCACACCCGGTAGAAAGAATCAGGGGCAACACACTGGATGCTGGCTGAGGGCGAGGCCGAGGGTGCCCACCAGGCCCACCTTGCACCTGGACCAGCCTGGGGCTGGGAGGTGGAGGGCAAGAGGATGGTCTCTTGGCCGCTGCCTTAGAAGGCTTCATCTCTGGAGGGCCTGGGCGTTGGAAGCCCCACCTCTCTCAAAAACCACTGGGGCCCAGGAACCATTGCTGATGCGAAAACAACCCCCGCCCTGGTTCCGTCCCCAGCAGGAAAACATGAACCGTGAAGTAAATCCTTCATTCCACACCTGGACCCCACCTACCACCCCTCTTATGTGGCAGGAGGGCATTTTATCCCCCTCTGTCCCCAGGTGACAACCCCCAGAGTGAGGACAGGGACCTCCCTTGGGGTACTTTGTCCCCAGGAGCTTGCTGAGGGCCTTGCTGCCTGTACTGCACCCCAGGCCAGAAGCACATGGGAACAGGTGACGGGGACCTTTGAGCCTCCCCAGTTCTCCCAGGAGGGCCTCGTGGGAATCCCACCAACAGATGGTTCCAGGCTTCTGCCAAGGGCCAGGGCAAGAGCTCCTGAGCGCCCCTTCCCTTCACCACAAGCATCTGCTAAATGCCTATTGCGCACTAGGCTCTGTTCCAGGTGCTGGGGACACAGCAGGGAATAGCACGAGGTCCCTGTCCTCATGGAGGTGATGGTGCAGTTGAGGAACCAGGTGACAGCCAGGTAACCAGGCAACATGGGAGGCTCTGGAGTCTCTGGGATTCAGCCTGTCTCTTCAGAGGCTCTGGTGCCGGCTGGGTATGAGGGGGTGGACGTGCAGATGAGTAAGACGCAGGACTCAGGGGTAGCCCTTCTCTGATCTTCCCTCTGACCCAGCAAGTCTACTTCTAAGAATTTATCCCAAGGGCAGAAGCCAGAGGGCCAGAGCCTAGAGCAGGGCCTCTGACTGCAGCGTAGCTCAGGTCGGCTGCAGCCTGGAGCTACGAAGGGCCTGGCACCGCTCCCTGGTTCCTCCCTGGGACGGTTATCAATGGCTATCGTGTTCTAGTGCTTGTGTATCCTGTCATTTAGCGAGTCTCTCTTTAACGACAGGACGCCCATGCACTGGAATACGATACAGTCATTTAAAATGACACCAGAGAATATTTAGTGCCACAGAGAAAGATACTCTTGGTAATGCTACTAAGTGCCAAAAGCCAGTTTCAGAAATAGTGATTCCATTTTTCTTTTCTTTCCTTCTTTTTCTTTTTTTTTTCCTGGTTCTGGGGTTCTAACCCAGGGCTTCACATGTTAGGGAAGCACTCTGTCACTAAACTGCATCCCCAGACCTTTTTGTTTTGAGACAGGGTCTCCCTAATGCACCCAGGCCAGCCTGTGTGGGGGCAAGAGACTGACCAGATGCCCTTAACACAGTGGTTCCCAGCCAGGGGTGGGAATGCCTGGCGACGGCTGGAGAATTTCTGGACCTGAGGTCAGGGTGCTTTCGGAGTCGCTGAGAATACAGGTGTGCAACACTGCGCCCAGCTCAATTTTTTTCTTAAAAAAAAAAAAAGCAAATAGTCCCATGGTGACCTGCTGAGGCTGCTCATGGGACTCCCAGAGTGGCACTTGCCTGCCTGTGCAGTGCCACTGGCTTTTGTCTGTGTTTTTCTTTATTTAGGTGTATTTTCTAATTTTTCTAAATTAATAAATAATTAAAAATACATTTACAGATGCACAGGAAAGAGCCAGAAAGGTATTAAGCCAAAGTGTAAGCAGAAGTTATTTATAGCTAGGTGGTGGGACTGCAGTGATTTTTTCTTTTCATTTTTCCATTTGGAAAAAATAATACTTTGTAATTATCCTGCTCTGGAGATAGCACGCCCCTGCTGCTGTCTGGAAAGTGTCCTCTGGGGGAGGCCCAGTCTGCTGACCACTCACCAGCACTTGCTCATGGTCTGGAGTCAGGTGTGAGAACCCGGAATAGAGATGAAGGTGTGCGGTTGCTATTCCTGTTCTCATCCTCTAACCACAGCTACCTCCGTGGCTGCTTTACGATGTGCCTGGACGCAGCAGACCTGTGCGTGACTTATGCGTGAATAAACTCGTGTTCATGAGTGGCACTCAGCAGGTGTTTGTGGGACTGAGCTGCCCCTGGACTCTCCAAAGGAAATCCAGGGCAGGTTCTTCCAAAGGGACCCACTGTGGCCTTGGCTGCCATTGAAGTCTCAGGCTCAGCTGGCCCCATGGCCCCCAGGTCTGCTTCGGCTACTCTAGGGCGCCGACCATTTGCTTATGCTCTCTTCCCCTCTACAGTGTGAGATGCCAGGGAGGAGCCGGGCTTGGCCTGTGTGGGTCATCGCTTAGACCACGCTTGGCAGTCGGTGCTGTGGTATCTGTTGACTGTCACAGGAAGAAATGAAGGGGACACACAGGACAGGGGACAAGGCAGGTGCCTGGTGCAGACTTCGGTCCCGTGAAGGAGACATGACTGCTCAGCTGAGGCTGTGCTGGCGGGATGGGGTGGGTTCACAAGATCAGCAGAAGGGGTGACTCTAACCTGTAACCCATGACCTGCTCCAGGAGGTGGCTGATGAGGCCACCTGTCCTGAAAGAATTCCTCAGGAGCAGGGCTGGTGATGGGTCTCAGGTTTCTAGACCCTGGTTCTGCACCACAACCACCAGGAAGGACTGTCTCCTCTTGTCCCTCAGCCTGGCTCTCCCAGACAGTCAGATGGGGACTGCTGATCCCTTCAGCATGGGAACCTTCTTCTCCCCCAATTTATTAGCTGAGTTGGATTAGGGAGGCCTGTGTGGGGGCAGGAGACTGATCAAATGCCCTTAACACAGTGGTTCCCAGTGAGGGGTGGAAATACCTGGCAAGGGCTGGAGAATTTCTGGATCTGAGGTCAGGGTGCTACTGGCATCTAGTGGCCGGGGATGAACACCCTACAGTGCACAGGACAGCCCCTCCCCCACCTCACAATAAAGGATGACCCGGACCCACGCGCGATTAGGCTGAGAAACCCCGTCTCACGACAGCACTGCTCTGCGCCCCCGGCACCGTTTATGGCTTATCTTAATCAGAATCATAATTAATCGAATGGCAACAGCCTAATTCCGACGCCAACCACGTGCCCAACAGCGCGGGTTCTCCAGTTTGCACACCAACTCCAGGGGGTGGGTTCAGAGCCTTGCACTGCACCCCAAATGACAAGAGGGAAGAACTTACATCCAGGACTGCTGGCGAGGCGCCAGAACCAACTGTAAATCTTTGACAAGTATGTGGCCCCCAGGGCAGGGGCTCTCTCCTCTCTTTCTGGAGGAAGAAACTGGGGCTGCGCCTCAGGCCGCCTGGCCCCAACTCCACCCGGGTGAGCCAGGCCCAGGGCTCGGTGTCCTATCTTGTGCCGCAGGCACAGCCCCAGGAAAACCCACCTGGCCTTGGCCCCACCCCCAGCCAGCTCTAGTAAATGGGACGCAAACGACATCTCACGCAGGCACAGAGGTGGGCGTGCGGACTCCAGGATGTGAGGGAAGCCGAGACTGACCAGAGAGAAGAGGGGCTGTGGCCACCTGCGCCTCCCCCAGCACCACCTGCGCCTCCTCCCCGACCGCCCAGCCTGACGGCGGCCCCCGGGCTCACCTGGATGCCGTTCTCCTGCAGGTTCAGGTAGCGCGTGTTGACGGGGATGCTGGCCGGGACCTCAGCCAGCTCTCTCCGCGTGCAGATCACCCTGCTGGCCTGGTTGCTGCAGGAGCAGGCCGCGGGGCAGGAGGTGGCCGGTGGGGAGCCCCCTCCAGCAGCGGATGTGATGGCCACGCCGCCCCCGCCGGCCCCCAGGGGTGGGGAGAAGAGCCAGAGGAAGAGCAGTGCCCCGTGGGGCCAGGACATCCTACCGGGCGGCAGCGGGGGGCACTGGGAGCCGCGGGCACACGCCATCCTCAATGCTCATGCTCCGCGCGGCCGCTGGGGGGCTGCGAGAGGGAAGACAGGAGAGATTCGGTCAGGGACAGGGTGGCCTGGGTCTCACCACCGCCCAGGCAGCTCCATCACTACCTCCCTTCCCAGGGCTCCGCACAAAGAGGCGGCGGGAGAGAGGCTGGAGGCAGGCCGCAGCTGCACCATCCTCCTTTCCATGTGGGGAGGCTTTCCACCCATTCTGAGGAAGGGAAAACTGAGGCTGGGAGAGAGGAGGGGCTTACCCAGGGTTACTCAGCCAGTAAATGGAAAACAGAAAGTTTTAGAAAGGTCACTGCATAGGTAGAGATGGAAAAGACCCCAACCCTGGGGCAGAGGTGGAGAGAGGTCCAACCGCAGTGTGGGTTAGGACCTGGCTCCCAGCACGGTACCTGCCAGGCCCCTGGGCAGTGTGTCCTGGCCTCTCTCTCTGTCCCTTCACCTCCCCTTGCAGGAATGTAAGCATCCTCGCAACCACGTGGCCGCCCCCATACACCTCCACCCCATCCCTGGGTGGCTCTCTCCTGCCCAGGTCCTGACCCCACAGCAGCTCAGGGGCCTGGGTGAGATCAGAACTGGAGGGAGAGGGAAGGTGTCCACCGCGCTGACTGGGGGGACAAGTGAGGGCTGAGGGCTGGAGAGAGGTGGCTGGAGGCTCCAGTGGGGCCTGGGGTGGCAGCACAGCCGGAGGCCCCTGCAGCCCACCTGTGCCCTGAGATTGCAGGTGCTCCAGGCTGAGGCGAGCGTCTGTGGGACCTGTGCCAGCAGCTGCCGCAGGACAGTGCTGGGAGCGGTGGGCATGGGGACAGCCACCTGGGGACTCTGCGCCTGAGTTTCAGGAGGGGAGCTGGGTCTCTGAGAAGTCCTGCTATACCTCCTCAATCCGCCCTCCCCTCATCTCCATAAGACCATGGGGGAGGGGCTCACAGGACAATAACAAAGATGACAGGAATAGCCGTAATCGCGCCAAGCAGGGGCCAGCCTGCCCATGCACCAAACTGCTCCCTGTTCCCTCAGCCTCATAATATCGGCAGGAGGAAGCTGTCCAGATGCCAAGTTTACAGACAGGACCAAGTCACTGGGAGGGGAATGGACGTGGCCAGTGCAGAAGCCCTGGGACTTGCCCTCTGGCTTCCAACTCAGTGTCTCTGGATACATACGAATGCAGCCACGCAGCCAGCTGCCCCTACACAGCCCCCAAGAGCCACCAGAGCCGGGTGCAGGCCACCACAACACCACCCACTCACACGGCAACGACAGGGCACGCCCTCAGAGGCGGACCCTCAGATCTAGGGACGCAGGGCCACCCAGCACACACAGGTGCACGCACGGGCACACACACACACACAGGAGCACATCCACGCCTCCTTCTGCAGCGTCCAAAACCATTTACCCTGGATAACAATGCCTGTGTGTGCACGTGAGAAGGCAGGAGCTGGACAAGGCAGAGAGCCCAAGGGAGAGGTGGCTGTGCCCGTGGCCACCCTATCCCGACTGTGTG